TCTGTCATTTAAAATTTAATTTTTTTATTCTTTTTAACTTCAGAAATCAAAATGTTACTAACCTTTAAATGATGAGTGTTTAAAACACCTGTCATTTAAAGCTTGACAATATATGATGCGTGTTTGAAAAACCCATCATATATTGTTTAAAATTTCTTAAAGCTTTTTTGGTTTGAATTTTAAACTTTATATGATAGCTTTTTAAAATACCCATCATTTATTAAAAGAAATAAATTATGGGTGTTTTGAAAACCTGTAATTTATTGCCTGACTATCACCCTCTTCTCTCATATATGACTTTTTTTTTAACCATCATTTTTTGTGGCATCTTATATTCAAATTTTTGTAGTGGTGGTCTTTTATTTGTTTTGAATTTTAAATTTTAAAATAGAAAATACATGGTAAAAAGTAGATGACATATCATCTTTTCTATATTGCTTGTCACCCTTTCCTCTTTCACCTCTCTGATAAATTGTAAGTTTTCTCTCATCTAATGCCTGCTTCATATTAATTGGTATTGATTCTTGTAGAAAAAGTTATAACTCTTTACCTGTGCTCGAGTTTGAGTTCATATGAACAAAGAAAGCATGTTTGAGAGAGTTAGCTTAAACTTGGCCGTGCTTAAATTTGATCTAACTAAATAATATATAAAAAATATGCTTCTTGCATCAAAAAGTTTTTCTCTTTTACCATTATGGTGAGTTTGTTATGAAATTTTAATTATTGTCAATGCACCATATTTAACTAGTTTTAAGTGTGAATCAATGCTAGTTATTGAAATGGGAAGTGGCAAATGCAGGAAGAGGGAAGCAATAGGATGAGAGTCAGGGACGTACCCACGTCATGAGTAGTGGGGGCAACAAGCCAAGAGAAAATTATGCCAAGTGATCTTAAAAAGTTTTGGTTGCCCCTTTTAAAAAATTTAAATTGCTCTCATCATTTCAAAAAATTCATTAGTCTCCTTACAAATTTTTCTTATTTCATTAAAAATTTGATAACTTAAAATCTTATCTATATGCTATATCTTAAGTAGGAATAGTTTTAGAATAGAAGAGGAATAATTTAATAAAATATTTTGTTTATAGAAAATTTTATCACAAATTAATCTCCTCCATACAAAATAGGTATATAGATTTAATTTAATAAAAATAAAAAAACATGAAACTAATAATCATAAAAAAATTTTTATAAAGATAATTTTTTATTATAGTTTTATGTTTTATGCATTTTTTAGTATTTAATTTTATTAAATTATACCTTTAATATAATTTAATAAATAATTCAATTTATATTTTTAATAAAAAATTAATATTTATTTTAAGATAAATTATGCCCCATCAACTTATTTTTCTGGGTCCACTGGTGAGAGTGAAGAGTTTCCTTATGAGATATAACATGCCAATATCAAATTCTTTCAATTAAATTAATAAAATAGTCTGTGTAAATTTAATTTTGTAATCTTAAAATTATTTGAATAGGTGAATGACTTTAAATATTTAGGTCAATCTTTTAAATTTGAAATTTGTTTATTAATTTTTTTTTGGAAGATGATAATGGTCATATCAACCTATCAATACCCTATCCTCCTAGCGAAATCAATTAATGTTATGTTTGGATACACATGGATTTGGATTTGAATTTAAATTTGAGTCAAATTCATTATTTGGATAATTAAGAATATATGGATTTGGATTTGACTCAAATCCAAATTCAAGTTCTCCCTTAATCTCTTTAAAATTTAAAATTTTTTCTAAATCCTTATTATTTCAAATTCTAATTCAAACTCCTTCATAATTTGACCCAAATACATAAAGGCTTGATTGACCTACCAACAAAATTGCACCGAACCACCAAAGTTAATGAAAATAAGCTGCCACCGTTGGTCGGAAGGAGACAGCCGACTTTCACCAAGACTGAACCAACGGCGACGACAATAACTGGATGGCTGACTTCCACCAAGACCGGATTGACGATGATGACTGGAACCACATAGCCGACTTCCACCGGGACCAAACTGACGACGACTACGACCGGGATCGCACGGCCAACTTCCACCAAAAGCGAACCAATTGGGATGACGAGGATCGAACGGCCGACTTCTACAAGGACCGAACTGATGACGATGATGGGGACTGGACGGCTGACTTTCACTAAGACCGGACCAACAATGGCAATCGAGACTAAATGGCAGACTTCCACAAGGCACCGAACTAACGATGATAAAAGGTAATGGATGACTGACTTCAAGATTGAACCGACGACTCCCACGGGCATTGGACAACCTTTTTCCACCGCGACTAGACAGACAGCTACCATAGGTACCAAACAACCTTCTTCCGCAAGGACCGGACCGACGGCTATGATGAGGATTGGATTGATGACGATGATGGGGACCGGACGGTCGACTTCCATTGAGACCAGACCAACGACAATGACATCGACCAGACGATCGACTTCCAGTGCCCCATTATCGTTGTCGGTCCAGCCTTGGTGGAAGTCGACCTTCTAGTGATCGCTGTCATAGTCAGTCTAGTCCCAATAGAAATCGACTGTCTGGTGCATGTTGATTTAGTCCCAGAGGAAGTCTAGCATCCGGTGCCCGTCGTCGCCATCAATCTGGTCCCAGTGGAAGTTAGCCTTCTAGTCCCTGTCGTTGCTGTTGGTCCAATCTTGATATAAGTCAGTCGTCCAGTGCCTAGGGTTGCCGTCGATCCAGTTTTGATAGAAGTTGGCCATCTAGTCCCCATCGTCGTTGTCAGTTCGATTCCAATGAAAGTTGAAGGTCCCGTCCCGATCGTTACCAATTCCATAGTCCCAATCGGCTTTGTTTACCTGATCCCGTTGGAAGTTGGCCATTCGAATCATCGAGTTTGACCAATCTTTCAAGTTTCTTTTGAATTCAAATATAAGATTTAAAATTTTACTTTAGATCGAAACAAAAAATTTTAATATTATAATTTAAAAATTTTTATATCATGCCAACAAAAAATTTAAAATCTATAAATTTTAAATATAAAATTTTAAATTTAAATTCTCAATTTAAATCCACACGTCCAAACACGAACTAATTTCTTTTGGCTTCACCGGACACTCATTATAATAAATAACACTTCAAAGAGAACAAAGCTGTCATCTCAGTTCTCAGTCTCGCAGTGTACTTCCCTCTCGGCTCCTCTGATTACATACCAGAAGCCATGGCTGCCGAGCTTGTGGGTGGAGCATTTCTCTCTGCCGCTGTTCAAGTTGCTTTTCAAATGCTTGCGTCTTTTGACATCATGAACTATTTTCAATCAAGAAAGCTTAAGGATAGCTTGTTCAGCAAACTTGAAATCACCCTCATTTCACTGAATCAAGTGCTTAATGATGCAGAAGCAAGGCAATATACAAAGCCCAATATCAAGAAGTGGCTTCATGAGCTCAAACACGCTGTGTATGTGGCCAATGAACTCTTAGATGAGATTGCTACTGAGGCAACTAAGTTGAAGTTCGAAGCTAAGAATCAAACTGCTACCGATAATGTACGACGCTTCTTTACTACTTTTGTTAATCTATTTGACAAACATATTGAGTTTAGGGTTCAACAAGTACTTAACGATTTGGAGTTACTTGCAAAACAAAAGGATGTTCTGGGATTAAAGGAAGGCTCTTGTGGTGGTAGTGAAGTTGGAATTGGGAAAGTCTCCAACAGATTGCCAGCTACGTCTTTGGTGGCTGATGAGTGATGAGTCTGGCTTATATGGTAGAGATGGTGGCAAAGAAAAAATGATTGAGCTTTTGCTTAATGATCATTTAAGTAGGAACCAAGTATCTGTGATTTCTATAGTGGGTATGGGTGGTTTAGGTAATACTACCCTTTCTCAATTAGTGCACAGCAACAATAGGGTGGAGAATTAGTTTCAACTCAAAGCTTGGGTGTGTATTTTAGAAGATTTTGATGTTATTAGAACTACCCAAACAATTCTTTCTGCACTTGGATGTTTAGTAACTGCATATGAAGACCTTAATTAACTTCAGTTGAAAATGAAAGAGAAATTGCTGGGGAAGAAATTTTTGCTAGTGCTTGATGATGTTTGGAATGAGCGCCAATCTGATTGGGAAGCCTTTCAAGTTCCTTTTTTCTATGGGACATTAGGAAGTAAGATCATTGTTACAACACATAATGAAAAGGTAGCATCAGTTGCGTGCTCTAGTAGAGTGTACTGCATGACTTCATTAAATGAAGAAGATGGTTGAAAGTTATTTGCAGAATATGCATTCAGAAATAAGGATGATAGCATGTGGACAAATCTTGAGTCAATAGGTAAAAAAATTGTTGAAAAGTGCAAAGGATTGCCTTTAGCTATAAAAACATTAGGTGGCCTCTAACATACAAAATCATCAGAGAAACAATGGAACGACATTCTTAATAGTGAAATATGGCAATTGCTAGATGATGAGAGTGATATAATACTAGCTTTGAGATTAAGCTATCATTACCTTCCTTCTAATTTGAAGCAGTGTTAAGCATTTTGTTCTATATTTCCTAAAGACTACAAAATTGAGAAGGATTCTCTAATCCAAATGTGGATGGCTGAAGATTTATTTCATTGTAATCAAGGAAATAAAAATGTGGAAAAAATGGGAAGTCAAATCCTAGTTGAACTAGAATCGAGGTTGTTTCTCCAAAGTCAAAAATTCATAATAGGTATGTCATGCATGATCTCATCAATAATCTTGCAAAATCAATATCTGAAGAATTTTGTTTGAGGATTGAGGACGATAAAGTGCAAAATTTTCATAAAAGGATTCACTACCTTTCATACTTAGCTTCACTTGATAGCAATGAAATGTTGCTAGAGCCTTTTTATGAGTGTAAGCAATTATGATGTTTTATGTCTTTAAAACGAGCAGCATGCTCCTTTAAAGAGGGTATGGATGAGGGTGAAATATTATCAAAATTTAAGTACTTGAGAATTTTGAGCTTGAAAAGTTTTGAAAATATTACTAAATCAAGTGTTGGTATGAACAATTCAAAGCACCTCCGTTACTTAGACCTTTCTGACACCAGAATTGAAAATTTACCAGATTCAATTTGCAAACTGTATAATTTGCAAACTTTGAAATTGCATTGTTGCACTCAAGTTGTTGAGTTACCTCCAGATTTGCACAAATTGGTAGACCTGCATTATCTTGACCTTTCTAAAACTAGGATCAACAGGTTACCTGATTCGCTTTGTAAGCTGCATAATTTACAAACATTGAAACTGCAGGCATGTCAATATTTGGTTGAATTGCCACCTGATTTTCACAATCTCATTAATCTCCATCATCTTAAGATAAGTGGGACTAGTATAAGGGAGATGCCAAACAACATGGGAAGGTTAAAACATCTTCAAATATTGACTAGCTTTTATGTGGGAAGGCACAGTGGGTCTAATTTGAAGGAGTTAGGGAAACTCAATTATCTTCGAGGCAGTCCTGAGATGGAAAATATTAATGACATTGTAGATGCTAGGGAAGCCCATATCAATGATAAGAAGTACTTCTATAAATTGGATTTGCAATGGAGTGGAAACAATGAAGATTCACAGAGAGAAAGGTTCACCTTGGAAGGTCTTCAACCTCATGTTAACTTGAAAGAGCTTGCTATTAGAAACGTTGGTGGTACAAGATTTGCAGACTAGTTTGATGCTCCTTATTTGCCCAATTTAGTATCTCTTGTGTTGTGAGCATGTAAATATTGTTTTTGTTTACCACCACTTGGGCAACTACCTTCTCTTAAGCTAGTTCATATCTCTAAATTAGAGGGATTAAAGAAGACTGGGCTAGAGTTCTATGGGAATAATAATTTGTCATGTGTTCCTTTCCCATCCCTTGAATATTTGTTTATTGCTGGAATGTTAGAATTGGAAGAATGGATTCATTTTGATGGTACATGTTTCCCTTGCCTCAAAGAGATTGTTATAAGATATTGTCCCAGGTTAAGAAAGTCACTTCCTCCACACATGCCATGTTTAGAAAAGCTAGAGGTTGAACAATGTGGAGATTTGGAACTTGAATCATTCCCTATCCAAGCATTCTCTACTCCTAAACATGAATCTATCCATCTTGCTGGGTTGACCCATTTGAAGTCATTACATGAAGACATGCATACACTCCTTCCCTATGTTCATTCTCTATCACTATTTCATTGCCCACAGCTGCTGTTAGTTCCTCAGAAAGGGTTGCCTTTGAGCTTTGTTTAAGTTTCAATCCATGATTGTCCTAAACTTTCTGCTTCTCGCATGAGCTGGGGCTTGCATAGACTTCATTCTTTGCATGAGTTCTCTATTGGTGAAAATTTTGAAACTGTGGAGTCTTTCCTAGAAGAGGGCTTGCTGCCATCCAATCTCAAAGTTATTCAATTTGAAGGATTTTCAAATTTGATCAAAATAAATAGCAGTGGCCTTCTTCCCCTCACATCTTTTCAAGGATTAAGAATCTATAACTGCCCAAATCTCCTATGCTTGCTAGAGGAAGGCTTATCAAGGTCCATTTCCTATTTAGTTATTAATGGGAATTGTCCATTTTTGACACACCAGTACCAAAAGAATGGACAAGGGTGGCACAAAATTTCTCGCATTCCTTGGGTATGCATTAGCTAATACTTCGTTCTAGGAGTTTTGTTAGCTTCTAAAGCCTCTATAGGTACTTCTTTTACCTTATACTAACATGTCTGCTTTATTTATTAAGTTTTCACTTTTTCATGCAAGGGCATCATATTTATTACAACAACATATGCACCTCAATCCTGAGTTTCAATCTATGGTAAGCAAATTAGTGATGATCTTATCCTCTGCTAAAATCTTGTCCACAGAACCACATGCTCGAAGCTTCCACTATCCGACCTACATCTTCTCTCTAAGCCCTCTGCAATTCCATGTGCTGATAATCCTAGTTGTTGTCTTCATTTTCCTTAGCATCTGATGGTGCTTCTAAAAGGAAGTTGTCAAAAGTACAAATGAACATTATTGGTTTTAGTTTGATGATTATCTTTGATTGATACTTCAGTTTGGTTCTTCTTCGGCTCTTCAACGAGAGCAAGAAAGGAGGACCCATCATTTTCCATTAAAGGGGTACAGTTGTTCTTTTGTGCTCTTGCTTATTGTTGTTTTCTAAGGATTCACCATGTGGTCATGGGTTCTCTATGACAGGATCATTGAATCTTGGTACATCTTCAAATAAGAAAACACCAGCAGATAGTATTAATGGAATCGAAGAGGTTAATAAACTGGGAAGTATAGATATACATTTGTCACAATTTCCTTCATGCAAAAATTGAGTATCCACTCTCCCTCCAAGTAAGCCTCCTAATCCAAGTTCGAATGAAATCACTCTTTAAAGGCCCACTTATATATTGAGCTTGGTAATCTTGAGTCTATGTTAGAATGAATTCAGTAAGGTCGTAGGTGTTATTCCCTCCAAGAAAGATATTTCTCCTACTTTACGCTGTTTGTATCATGTTTATCACTAATGATACTTTTTTTCATCCTTTAAAAAAAAGAATAAAATTCTTTTCTGCTTGGCTTCTTTTCTGGAGGTTTATTTTTGAGATAAAATTATATGTAGTTTGAAGAAATTTATATTAAATGCTGACAAACATGATTTTTCATTTAATTTCATTTGTAAATGAATGAAAGACTTTAAATCCATGATACTGAGATTATGACTATTATAAATATATGCTATGATAGGAGATGGTACTAAATGGATATGTTTAATATATGGAATATTGTTTATATGCAAAGAAGTTTTGCAAATGGGGATAAAAACTTGACTAATGGTACTCTGATGAGAAGGATTGTGATAAATCATGAAACACAATTGTCTAACATATTGAAATTTCACTTTCTGTCATGCTTGAGAACTTAATCACAATTGGCCTGATGGAAGGGTGGGAATTTTTGCTTATTTTATTCAATGCCTTGTACTGGCTTTTGAAAACTATTGCAATGATGAATTGATTAGCCTTGAAGTTTTGCTGGTTGCAGGAAGTTTATGATCCCAATCCTGTTCATTCATTCTATCTGAGATCAGTTTATTTCTGTTAGATGGGGTCATTTTCTTCAATGCCTTTTCACTGGCATCTGTAAATGTGTAAAGTGATAAATCAATTGACCTTGAAGTGTTCCTGTTCAGCTGGTCGTATTGCATTTTGGCATTCGTTCTATTTGAGGTCAATTTATTTGCCTTGTGAAGGAAGGTGATATTATATGGCACAAACCAAGGATTTTGTTAAATCAATCAAATGATTGATCAATTGCCTTCAAAAGGTTCTCTTCTTTTACCCCTCAGGCTGTTGTTTTAATTTAATATTTATAGTTGACATTAAGCCTCTGAATCTTACTATGTCCTTCATCTGCTTCTTTTATATCATCCATTAGCATTTACTTTTCTGTTTGCTGTTGAATTGATATCTGAAATAAAACCACAAAGCTTGTCAATCGATGTTGGAATGAGTGAACAACTGGCTAAAACTAATGGCACTCAAAATAGTGAAATTTTTGAATTAGTTGTTCATGATCAAAGGTCCCATAGTGCTGTATCTCCTTCTGCAACTTGGTTTCTTCAACACTAGTGAATGTCTTAGCCTCAGAACATTATATAGAGAAACAGATAACCAATATATATGTCTGTGAAGTTGTTCCCAAAAGTATTGTAGAAAAGCATGAAACTAAACTGATTACATTGTTCTGCATTTGCAGCAAAAGTCTCAGTTCAATGGTGAAAATCCTATCTTTGGTGCCCTACATAGTTTTCAAATCTAATACTCTCCACCACCGTCCCTAGCTTGATTCTTGAGCTTGGATGGTTTTTAACTTGATGTCTTCAAAGTTCTTGTTTAAGGTCTTAAGAACAGGAAATGGTTCTAGTGCATTTCTTTAGAGAAGTGCACCAAATTCAAATCCATTACAAGTAGACTTTGTAGCAAAAAAATTCAATATTATATATGCTATGAAGTTTTTCCCAGTACCAGTAGTATGATAGTATGAGACTAAGGTAATTACATTTTTCTTTACGAAATTTGACGTTATTGCCAATACCACTACTAGTCATGCCAAATTTGATTGTTGGGCTTTTGGAATTCATTTTTTTCATAATTCCTCATGAAAGTCAGATATTTTGGTGCATGACTGTGTTTGATAATGTTCAGCACCGTCCATGGCTTGATTGCATGGTTGGATGAGGACATTGATGACCTTTATCTGTATTATGCAGGCAAGCTAGAGATGCTTGTTAAAGCTTGGTAGCAAAAATCCCTATACTCATTTTTTCCTTCATGGTGAGTATGTAAACCTTCATGCAGTTACTAGGCACTTCGTATTCCTCAAACGAGAAGCTTAATCATGTAATTTTATTGAACTGAAAATTTTCATTCCTGGCTTTTGAGTTTTATGGTGTTGTATTAAATCCATCTCCTAAATCTGCTAATTTTCAAGCTGCTTGGAAATGTTGAAGAGCAATGCTACTATATAGGAGATCATATTCATAACGAAAGCAGAATTTTGTTCCATCTGCAGTGGGCATCAAATTTTGTGTTCCTGGCTTTCCTGTCCGTACTACTTGTATTGATGCTGAGAAATTGGACATTATGATGTTAGAGAACAGGCCTTGGATTAAGAGGCGCACATGAAAAACTCTTATAGTGAGAACTTAAGAAACTGTAAATTGTTGTAAGAACTCTGACTTCTATAAAAGTATTGAAATTGATTCTACTGCTTTAATACCAGCTGGAATATATGAATATTGGTCATTTTTAAATTATAACTGAACACTGGAATTGATTCTCCTAAGTGAGGTTAGCTTTATTTTTATTTATTTATTTTGTATGCTTCTTTAAATTTTTCATTTAAAATATTATGTTTTTAGGTGTTTCCCTCTCATTGATAATTAATTAGAAAATTATTATTATTATTATTAAAAATATATTTTTTACTAAAAGTTATTGTTTTATCAAATAATTTTTCTTAATACATTTTGTGTGCTGCCCTTGCATCTTTTATTTTTTTATTTATAAATAAAGATAATTGTTAATTTTTTCATTATTTAGCATTCAAAATGGATTATTTATTATTTTTATTCCGATCAGATAATTTAAAATGATTTGTTCAGCTTCCTTGAATTAGCTTTTTGATTTAAGACCTCCAAATTAAATTTGAGATTATTTATTATTAATTAAACTAATTGTTTTTTAGTTCTGTAATCAATGAAATGATTTTTTGCTTATTCTTTATTTCACCTCAGAAAAGATTTTTCTTGTCGCATCAAATATAATTGTAAATTCAAAAATTTCAGCCGCTCTCTTTTATTTTTATCAATTTTTTTATTTTAGGGATCCAACACCAAGTAATCAACATAAACGTAAACTATTACGTCAAAAAACAAAAGAATCTATATCAATGTAAAACATATACCACTTTGTTTAAAAATATAAAATATTTTTTGAAGAATTAAATGTTAAAAATATAAAATATTTTTAGTCTTTCAAGATGTAATCATTACTTTTTTTTAAAAGTATTCTTATTAATAATGACTATATATTTATTATTAGGTATTTAATAGGGGTAAATATAAAAAGATAGAGTTGGTTGAAAATAGATAACTACTTTATTGGGGGTGAGATTCGATTAAAAATATCTTCTAT